GAGAAAGAAACGAAGAGAGGAAGAGAGAGAGAGAGAGAGAAGAGAGAAAGAGAGAGAGAGAGAGAGAGAGAGAGAGAGAGAGAGAGACGAGAGAGAGAGAGAGGAGAGAGAGAGTATCTGGACCAACTCCAAACTCCATGGAATCCACGGTGGGGATCCTGATGGTCCTATAGGAGTTTATTAGCCTATAAAGATGTTGTCAACTGTTTCTCCACCGCTGGCAACCCCGCTGATGGTTCTTTTATGAGGGGGGAAGGGGGGGAAGGAGGGGAGGAGAGAGGGGACAGAAGGGAGGGGAATGGGGGGAAGGAGGGGAGGAGGGGAGAGAGGGGGCAGGAAGGAAGGGGAAGGGGGGGAGGAGGGGAGGAAAGGGACAGGAAGGAAGGGGAAGAGGGGGAAGGAGGGAAGGAGGAGGAGAGAGGGACAGGAAGGGAAGGGAGAGGGGGGGGGGAGCTCAGGAAAAGAAGGTACCTGGCTCTCCTCCCTCCTCCCCCTTCCTTGGTCACGTGATGTCTGGCTCGATGTTTACCTTTTGTCTTCGGTTAACCCTCTCTCTCTCTCCTCTCTCTCTCTCTCTCTCTCTCTCTCTCTCTCTCTCTCTCTCTCTCTCTCTCTCTCTCTCTCTCTCTCTCTCTCTCTCTCTCTCTCCTCTGCCTAACGGACTGGCTGACAATCAAGGAACAAGCGAGACTGCAATAATCAATCACCCGCTCAACTGTAAAAAAAGCAGAAGGCGAACAAGGAGGAGGAAGAGGAGGAGGAGAGGAGGAGGAGGAGGAGGAGGAGGAGGAGGAGGAGGAGAAGAGGAAAGAAGAAGAAGAAGAAGAAGAAGAAGAAGAAGAAGAGAAGAGGAGGAGGAGGAGAGGAGGAGGAGAAGGAGAAGAAAGATATGAAGAGAGATTATCTTCAACGTAAACTTGGACAAGAAGAAAAAAAAAAGGAATGGAAAATAGTATTACATAAAAATCAGAATAGGAATAAGCGGAAGAGGAGACGCCAAGCGAGGAGGCGGCGGCGGCCCCCAGCAGCGCCGCCGCCCCGCTCACCTTTGTGCAGCTCCGAGACGAGGCAGGAGGTCGAGCGGAAGAAGCGGCGCGCGGGGAGGCGGCAAGGACTCAGCTCGCCCTCGCTGCTGTCGTCGGTGAGCAGGCACTCCTTGCTGGCGCTGCTCTTCCTCAGGCGGAGGCTGCTTCTGCAACTCCGCGGGGCGCTGGACTCCTCGCTGAAGTGCCTCTTGCTGTCGAGGCCGAAGAAGTCCCTGCACTTGCTCCGCTTCTTGGAGGATCGGAGGGGCGGCTTGTCCCCGCCGCCGCCGCGCAGCCACGACCGCCGGCCCTGCAGCTTCATGTTCCTGTCGAGCGATAAGAAATTCTGGCCCGAGCTCTTCCCGAGCTCGCCCTCCGGGACCACCGGGGTGTGGGTCTGAGACCGCGACAGCTTCCTGTGGCCGCCGTTCGCGTCGCCAGCGGGGGGAGGGACTCGTCCCGCGCGGCGTCGGCGGCCCGCCCGCCCCCGCCCGCCTGGCCCTTGCGACTCGAGGGCGCGGGCTCCCCGTCGGAGGCGTCCCCGGCGAGCGAATGTTTCTCGGCACTCATCCCGAAGGAGAAGAATAAAGAAATAGAAGAGGAGGAGGAGGAGAAAGGGAAGGAGGAAGAGAATGAGGAGGAGAGGGACACGCAGAGGACACTCCCAAAGGCGATTTTCCGACCGACCGACCTATCCCGACGCAACGGCCGCCCGACCACTTATCAACGCCAGCGACCACCCACTCCCGTCACCAGCTCGTCGTCCCCAACGTTCCTCCTGACAGCTGCGTCTCCGCGTCGAGAATGAGCAGCGAGGGGAGGACGCGGCGCCCAGATATCTTTTCCCACATCCTCTAAAACAACAGATAATAAGCAGATAAAAAACATACGCAGAACCGCCGACTAATGACGATATCACGGCAGCAGGACGAGCACGCGACCGTGGGCTTTATGACAACCAGATATAAGGGTCATATCTATCCATTTCTTCCGAGGGACTTCCGCTTCGTGATATCGTGTCCTCGTGGCGGCGCCGAAGCCTACGAGAGCGCACGGGACGGAGGGAACGGGAGAAGGGAAGAGAGAAAGAGAAAAACAAGGGAATAAAGAAAGGAAGACAGGGAAGCAGAGAGAAAGATAAAAATTGGGAAATAAAGAAAGGAAGACTGGGAAAAAGAGAGAAAGAGAAACAATGGGGAATAAAGAAAGGAAGACCGGAGACAAAAAGAGGAAGACTGGGAAAAGAGAGAAACAATGGGGAATAAAGAAAGGAAGACAGGGAAAAAGAGAGAAAGAGAAACAATGGGGAATAAAGAAAGGAAGACAGGGAAGAAGAGAGAAAGAGAAAAATTGGGGAATAAAGAAAGGAAGACAGGGAAGAAGAGAGAAAGAGAAAACAAGGGAATAAGAAAGGAAGACAGGGAAGAAAGAGAAAGAGAAAAATGGGAATAAAGAAAGGAAGACAGGGAGAAGAGAGAAGAGAAAAATTGGGGAATAAAGAAAGGAAGGCAGGGAAGAAGAGAGAAAGAGAAGAATTGGGTAATAAAGAAAGGAAGACAGGGAAGAAGAGAGAAAGAGAAAAATTGTGGGATAAAGAAAGGGAAAAGAGAAAGAGAAGAGAGAAAAACAGTGAAATAAAGAGGAAGACAGAAGACAAGAGAAAAATTGTGGAATAAAGAAAGAAAGACAGAGAATACGAGAGAAAGGAAGATAGGGCGAAACCGCAGGGGAGAAAATGGGGATAGATAATAGAGACAAACAGATAAAGAGACACAGAAACAGCTATAGAAAGAAAGACAAAGAAAAAAGAAAGAAAGAGAAAGTGAGAGAGAAAAACAACTAGCATCCTGGCTTTGTTGCAAGACCGACTCTACAAATTACTCATCCGTATCCATAAATAAGAGAAAGTTTCATTTATCAACGGCATTTGTGATGATCATTATGTCATCGGCGTGAAAAAGTCCTTTCTAAAACAGCTAAGAAATGAAAATAATACCAACTGGAAAAAATAAGAACGATGATGATAACACTAACAATAAAAAACTAAGATTTATCATTATAAGGACGGTAATTTTACGAACAACAACCATAACAATATAAACCTATTATCATTATATTATTTAATTATGATTATTATGATTATTATTATTATTATTATTATCATCATCAATTATCATTATCAACCCCACTAACCGGGGGGCCGAAACGTGAGAGTTAAGGAATATTGGATATTGAAAACTAATCGACGAAAGAAAGAAAAAAAAAAAGATAAAAAAAATAAAAATAAAAAGAAATAATGAATAAGACAGCCAATCACGAGGCTGCAGGAAGCGAGGCACGACCCCCCCCCCCCCTACACTCCCCCTCCCCTAACACTCTCCTCCCCCTGACCCTCCAGCGCAAGTGGGGGTGGGGGTGGAGGAGGGATAGGGGGGGGTAGGATTAAGGAATGTGTTTTACGGAAGAAAATGAGAAAATAACCGGATAATAGGGATGTTGGATAAGAAAGGAGGAGGAGGAGAGAGAGAAGGAGGAGGAGAGGAGGAGGAGGAATAATAATAAGAAGAAGGAAAAGAAAAAGAAGAGAAGGTGAAAAGGGGAAAAGAAGAAGAAAGATGCAGAAAAAATAACACAAAAATGCATTTACAGACGAGAAATTCAAACAAACTAAACAAACAAATGCAACGAAATCAACGGAGATAAAGAGGGAAGTACGCAGGAGAATAATTACAAAAAAACTCTATAAAAAGCATAAAATAAACCTATATACCTGTTCATAGTTCCTGAACAACGTGCCGTCACTTCACTGAATTATTTACCTGGAAAAGAGAAAATAAAAATATTAACAACAACAGTAACAACAACAATAACAACAACAACAATAATATAATAATAATGATGATGATATGAATGAATGAAGATGATGATGAGATGATGATGATGATGATGATGATGAGGAGGAGGAGGAGGAGGAGGATAATAATAATAATAACAATAATAACAATAACAACAAAAACAATAATAATAAAACCATTACAGATCATACCAATAACAATAACAATACCGATACTACCAATACTAATAACAATAACAATATCAATAACCTCACACAGCAACACAAAGCATCAAAACAACAATAACAAACAACAACACAACAACAATTGTAATATTAAGCCGCCAAAGACTCTAGACGGAGGCCGCGTGTTCTCGGCCGGCCGATAAGCCTCCGAAAAGCCCTTCCTGAAAAGCCTTCCTGAAAGGACCTCCTCTGAAAAGCCCTCCTGAAAAAAAACTCCGAGAAGTCCTCTGAAAAGCCCTCCTGAAAAGTCCTCCTGAAAAGCCTTCCTGAAAAGAGAAAAATCTCCTCCTCATGAAAGTCTTCCCGAAAATCCTGAACATCTGAAAAGCCCCCCTGAAAAGCCATCCTGAATATCCTCCCGAAAAGCTCTCCTGAAAAGCTCGAAAACCCTTCCCGAAAAGTCCTCCTGAAGAGCCTCCTGAAACCGAACCCGATGAAGCTAAACACAATAGGGACTATATTCGTCGGTGGGGGGCGAGGGGGGGGGGTGGAAGTGGAGGCCTAGAACAGTTTTCTTTCTCCTGTACCTTGTTTTCTGTATTTTTGTTTTTTTGTTTGCTTTTTGAATCTCGTGCTCCCATCTCTATCATATACACAATAGAATGATAGACAGATAGATAAATGAGAGAGAGAGAGAGAGAGAGAGAGAGAGAGAGAGAGAGAGAGAGAGAGAGAGAGAGAGAGAGAGAGAGAGAGAGAGAGAGAGAGAGAGAGAGACAGAGAGAGAGAGAGAGAGAGAGAAAGCAAGAGAGAGAGAGAAGAGAGAGAAAAGAGAAGAGAGAAAAAAGAAAGAAAAAGAGAGAAGAAAAAAAAGAGAAAGAAAGAGAGAGAAAGAGAGAGAGAGAGAGACCTCCTGTAGAACATTTTATCCAAAAATGATGAATAAAAACATCAGGCTATCTTTGGCCAGCCTGGACACTATAAGAATAAAGATGTGGGAAGCACAGGATGAGGGAAACAGGAAAGGTGATGGAAACAGGAGAGGGAGAGAAGAGAGAGAGAAAGGAGAAAGGAAAAAGAAAGAGAAAGGAGAAAGAAAAGAGAGAGAGAAAGGAGAAAGAAAAAAGAGAGAGAAAAGAGAAAGAAAGAGAAAAGAAAGAAAAGAGAGAAGAGAGAGAGAAGAGACAGACAGATAGATAAAAAAAAAAAATGGGTAGATAAATAGATAGATAGACAGACAGAGAGGGAGAAAGAGAGAGAAAGCAGGAGAAACGGATGAGGGGGGAGGCAAGAAGAGAGGGAGAAGGGGAGAATGGAGAAGAAAAAGGAAGACTGAGAAAAAAAGGAAGGGGAGGGGCGGGGGCAAGAATTAAAGGAAAGGGAGAGAGATGGGGAGAGACAGAGAGAAGAGCGAAAGAGGGAGTTGGAAAAAAAATGTTTCCTAAATCCTATGGGATTGGCAACACAATTCCTTCTCTGTCTCCCCCCTCCCTCCCTCCTCCCTCCTCCCTTCCCCTCCTCCCCTCAGTGATGTCCTTTTTATTCCCCTTTTTTGACCCGATTTTTATTCTAATAACCTTTTTTCTCTCTTTTATCCTCAGTCTGTTTTGAGAGGGAGGGAGGAGAGGAGGTGCAAGTATCTCCTCTAACAAACAGATTTCTCATTAACATTCACATAAAAATGGATCTTTGAAAATTAAATCAAAATTAGATTCTCCACAAAAATAAAAATGGTAGATGTATTTTTTTCCCGTTTTCTCGTTTTTTCACGTTTTCTGTCTTCTTTTCTTTCTGTCTCTCTTTTTTTTTTCCTTCTTCAATCCTTCTTTCTCTCTTTCTCTCTCCCTCTACTTCTACTCCTTTTTCCTTCTCGAACTTTTTCTTTCTCTCTTTGTTTCTCTCTCCTTTCTCTGCTCTCTTTTTTTTTTCTCTCAACTCTCTCTCCCCAACCTCCTTTTCCTCCTTTCCCCTCTATCTCTACCCTTCCTTCTCCTCCTCCTCTTCCCTCTCTCCTTCTCCTCTATCTCCCCATACCTCTTCCACTCCCACACCTCACTTTCCTCATCTCGTCCTCTCCTTCTCCTCTCTCTCATTCTCCTCCTCCTCCTCCCTCTCTCCTTCTCATATCCCCATACCTCTTTCCACCCCCACCTCCTTCTCCCTCTCTCCTCCTCTCTCCAGCAAAGAGCCCCTAAGAGTGGCCATAACAACCAATGCAAACAAATTATTTTACGGCAGTTCGACATCCCTCCCTCCCACCCCCCCCTTCCCCCTTCCCCCCGTCGGCCATCCATTCCGAACTTTGGTCGAAGCTGCGGGCGTCCTTTTAGCTTGTCGACGTTGTTGCCAGAACCCCCGAGGGCGCCCCGAGGAGGACCTCCTTCGGGGAGTATTGCCAGATAAAGGAACGCGCCATCAGCAATTGATGACGGTCGCTGAGTGGTGTTGATAGCGTTGTCAGGCGTCGAGTGGGGTGTTGTCGCGAGTGTGGTGTTGTCAGGAGTCAGGTGTGGTGTTGCAGGCGAGTGCAGAGTCGTGTTTGTTGTTGTCAGGAGTCTGATAATGTCAGGCGTCAGGTGTTGTCAGCCGTAACTGTGGCGTTGCCAGGCGTCGAATGTGGTATTGTCAGGTGTTGTCAGGCGTCGAGTGGGTCTATTTCAGAGGTCGGCGCTCAAAAAGATGGCGTTTAGCTTAATTTTTAAACATTAAGAAAATCAACGTTAGGATTATAATGAAAACTCTGATAAAATCCTGACTACAGAACTGATAAAAATAAGCTAAAGATTCTGATAAACGATAACACGCGAAACTTCATATAAAATCACAACACAAAATATCTACTTCTCTTTAACTCCCCTCCCCTCCCCCCCCCTTCTTTAAAACTCTGTCTGTAAGCACCATCCCTTTTCCTATCTATCTATCTCACTTTATCTCCTCCTCTTTTATTATCTACCCTCTCTCTCCCTCTTTATCCATCCCTATTTCTCCTCTTATCTCAACGACGAACCAAGTTGTTCACTGTATGAGGCCTAAGTTCACCAAAAGGGAAATTACATAACATTCATCCTTGCTTAACTGCATCATATATAATTTTATATGTTATATAATTTTATATATCATATAATTTTATATAATTCATATGTTTATATTTTTCACCATATGGAAAACTATATATACATACACCCTTGAATTAACTGCACTATATAAAATCATTTTTTTTAAAGATACATGTTCTGATTTTCACGTATTTTTTTATATCTTGTTTTGAAACCAAGTGAAAATTAATAGTTCGCAACCGGAAGAAGATTTAATGGGCATTTTTTCTTTCTGTTCATTCTCGTTCTTTCTGGCTCTTCGGATTTCGCCCTTGGAAAATGTCGGTGAATTTTCTCTCTCTCTGTTTCTGTTTCTGGCTCTCTCTCTCTCTCTCTCTGTCTCTCTGTCTCTCTGTCTCTCTGTTCTCTCTGTCTCTTCTGTCTCTCTCTGTCTCTGTCTCTCTGCTCTCTCTGTCTCTCTTTCTCTTTCTCTTCTCTTTCTCTCTTTCTCTTCTTTCTCTTTCTCTTCTCTCTCTTCTCTTTCTCTTTCTCTTCTCTTTCTCTCTTCTCTCTCTCTCTCTGTAAATATATATATATATATATATATATATAATATATATATATATATATATATTATATATATATATATATATAATATATATCCCTTTCCCTTCGTTTGCCGGCCTCTCTTTCCCCAGCCCTCAGCACACCCTTCACCTCCTCCTTCCCCCCCTTCTCCCCCTTTCGACCATACCCTCTCCCTCCCTCCTCCCCTCCTCCCCCACCCATACCAATTTTTCCCCCTTTTTCCTCCCTTTTTTTCCCCTCAGTCTTACGCCTTAGGCCCACTTACGCCACGCTGACCATCATTAACTCACAACCGGCCTCTTGCTGCCCCTTCCCTCCCCCCCCCCCCCCGCCCTCGCCTGCCCCTCGCCTGCCCCTCCCTCCTGCCTTAAATGCTGGGTCATTTAACCGAAGTGTACAGTTTGGGGGCCCAGATAACGAGGTTAGGAGACAGACAGACAGAGAGAGAGAGAGAGAGAGAGAGAGAGAGAGAGAGAGAGAGAGAGAGAGAGAGAGAGAGAGAGAGAGAGAGAGGAGAGAGAGACGAGAGAGAGAGAGAGAGAGGAGAAGAGAGAGAGAGAGAGACAGAGAAGAGGAAGCTGAGAAGCGAGAAAGAGGAGCTAGAAAGGAGGAAGAAAGAAGGGGAAGGGGGCGGTACAAGAGGAAGAGGGATGAGAGAGGGGGGGAGGGAGGCGAGAAGCGAAAGAAGGAAGGCCGCGTAGAGTTGAGAAAAAAACTTTTTCGGGAAAAAAAAAAAGACTAGACGACGTAGCAACGCCCGCGTATCGCAATGCCCCCTTGGATATTACTTCTTAATGGCGGATACTGAGCTTGTGAAAGTGGAAGTGGGAGGGATATGTGAAGCCTATACTTTTATTTACTATAGACGCCGATATGAGAGATATGTATAATAGAGATGAAGGTAATATAAACAGGAGGGAAAGATAAGGTGGAGAGAGGAGAGAGAGATAGAGAAGAGAGAGTGAGAGAGAGAGAGAGAAGAGAGAGAGAAGAGAGAAGAGAGAGAGGAAGAGAGAGAGAGAGAGGAAGAGAGAGAGAGCAGAGATGAGAGAGAGAGAGAGAGAGCGAGAAGAGAGGATGAGCGGAGAAGAGAGAGAGCCGAGAAAGAGGGAGGGAGGGAGGGAGGGGAGAGAGAGAGATGGAGAGAGACGTGAGAGAGAGAGAGAGAGCGGAGAGAGAGGAGAGGAGAGCGGAGAGAGCAGAGAGATGAGGAGGGATGAGAGGAGCAGAGAGAGAAACGAGAGAGAGAAGAGAGAGAGAGAGAGAGCAGAGAAAATTGAGAGAGCCGAGAGATGAGAGACACTGAGCGCGCCGAGAGAGGGTTGTACTGCGAAGCACATCCAACTTTACTCGAACACAAGAGCCTTGACCAAGAATGGGAAAATGTCATGGCGTATTATTTCACACTCATTCTCTCAACTCTCTCTCATCTCTCTCTCTCTCTCCCTCTCTCTCACTCACTCTCTTTCCCATCTTCGTTCATTCTATTCTCTTCTAAATAGACACACACCTTAGCCAAAAGAGGAACAATGAGAAAAAAACACAAGAATAAAAAAGATACATGAATTCTGGAATTGGAATAGGAAATCCAAGGATAACGAGATGCCAATACCCAGATAGTTGCACAATCATATTCAAGGGGCGAGAGATATCGCACGATTTGCACGAACAGAGAGGAAAATTAAGAGTCAAGAGAAAGTATGCAAGTGAAAAGCGAAAGGAGGAAAAACTGAGTTATGTATGTCAAGCTCAGACTTTTTGCAGAGCTATGCACTATTCTATGGTGTTACACATCGTGTCGCTGGTTGATCAGCCAGTGTCCTGCTGGCATGTGACTTCTGATCCTATGTAGAGAGAATTATGGAGCAGAAGGAGCAGCGATGATCGAGTTCAGACGCGCGACGTGGACGCTCAGGCGCTGTGTGTCCAGTCGGTTCCAGACTAGTCTAGTGGCATGGGGAATAAGAGCGCTGGGGAGGCGGGGGGGAAGGGGGCAAATACTACAGGGGAGAATAGGGGATGAGAGGGGGGAGGGTGAGGGAGGGAGGAGGAGATGGTGGGGAGCCTGGATGAGGGGATGCACGGTTGTGATACACGCATGCGGGGAGGGGAAATGGGGGAGAGGGGACGGAGAGGAGCAGGAAGATGAGAGGTGGGAGGAGAGGAGAGGAGGATGATTGAGGGCGCGCTCATAGGTAGGGAAGGGGGAAGTCGGGGAGAGAGGGGAGGAAGGCGGAGAGAGGACAGTGGGTATGGGAGAGGAGGTGAAGGGGGGAAGAAGAGTGGAGGGTGAGAGAGCGGAGCCTAGGCAGGCGGATCACTGTCTGAGGCGGATGGCAGAGGTCGGGCTTGAAAGGTAGTGCGGGCATACACGGTGGGATGGGGGAGCGCAAATGGAGATGGAGGAGGAAGAATAAAAGAGGTAGAGGAGATGGAGGAAGAGGAGGAGAACGAGAAAAGCGTGGGACGCAGAGAGAGAAAGAAAAACACGGGAGATTAGGAGAGAGAGAGAGATAACACTTCATAAATGCGTATCGCCTCTCCTCATGCGTCATCGATCATCGCCTTCAGTCTCCAATACCTCATAAAAAATCCAAGACATGCATATGACACTAATACCAAAGCATAGTGTCATATCACACAGCATGTCATAGAAAAAGACACACCATACTACAACGCCCATCATACTACAACACATCAGTAAAAATAACACACCACACTCCACACCACGGTAACACTCCACACCAGCTACACCACACGAGAAGCGACTGCAGCACATCAGCTTACTCGAAACAAGAGCTTGACCAAGAATGGGAAAATGTCTGCGTAATTCTCCACTCACACTCGCTCTCGTCTCGTTCTTCTTCCTGCTCTCATCCTGTGTCTCGCATCGTGAGTCTGCCTGTCTTTCTCAGTCACTCACAGCTCTCATTCATTCTCCTCTCCTCCTTTCTACACTTTTCTCTATCTCTCTCTCTCCCCTGCTCGACCTCACTCCGTCCTCTCTTTCATCTTTCTTCTCCCTCTCTCTCTCCTCTCTCTCCCTCTCTCTCTCTTTCTTTCTCCGCTCTCTCGTCTTTCTCTATCCCCATCTCTCCTCTTCTCTATCCTCTCTCTTCTCTAATCCCCTCTCTCTTTCTCTATCCTCTTCTCTCTCCTCTCACCCCCGCTCCTCATCCTCTCTTTCTATCTCTTCGCTTTCCCCTCTCTCTCCGTCTCATCTTTCCGCTCCCCTTCTTTTCCCCCTTTCTTTTCTTCTTCTCTCTATAGATCCGCCTCTCTCCCCCCTGTGCAATCCCCCCCTCTCTCTTCTTTTCTCTATCGCCGTCATCTGCATGTCTCTTACTCTTCCCTCCCTCTATCCCCCTCTCTCTCTTTCTCTATCCCTCTCTCTCTATCCTCTCCCTCATTGCCTCTCTCTCTCTCTCTCTCTCTCTCTTTCTCTCACCCTCTCTCTCTCCCTCTCTCCCTCACCTCCCTCCCTCATCCCCTCCCCTCTCCTCTCTCCCTCCCTCCCTCCCTTCTCTCTCTAGATGTTGCAAGATCAACCACATCTTTCATTTTCTCGCAACACCGACCCTTTGTGGCAACACCTGACACAGTTACCAACGGAGCTGCGTGGCGTGTGTTCGAGATGACTTTAGCTCACAAACTTTCGTCTTTCATTGATCATTAACTCTATTATAGACCCCCCCCTCTACAGTCCCTCTAAAACCCCTCTATCTATTCAATCCCTTCTTCTCAGATCTCTCGCCTCCTCCCCCTCCTCTTCCTCGTTTTCTATCCCTTCTTCCCTCTTCCTTTTTCTCTTTCTTCTACTGCTGTGCTTTCGTCATTTGAACCGTCAGGATTGGATAATAGACTAAATAAATAATAATAATAATAACTGCAATAACAACAAAATTTGCAGCAACTACAACAACAACAATAATAATCAGTAACAATAATAATAATACAAACAATAATAAAGTCGAGGAAAATATGAATTCCTTACTGTATTGTAACAAAGCCATCATTATGCTTTCCTGTATCAAGACTTATTTTGTTTCTCTATCCACCCTCCCTCCCTTTATCCAGTCTATCCGCCCTCTTCCCTCCTTTTCTCATTCCTTCTCCCTTTCTTTCCTCATCCCTTCATCCTCTCTTTCTTTCCCAGACCTCCTTCCCTTTCCTCCATCCTACCCTCACCTTTATCCACCTCTACCCCCTCCCTTTCCCCCCCTCCCTCTCCCCTACACTACCCCCCCCCCATCCTTGAAAAAAAAAAATCACTAAAATACCCCTTAACTAAATTTCACGCAAGTTGCCCGGTACGAGGTCAGATCAGGTCAAGGAACAGAGACTATCTGACCCTGCTTGACACAAGGACAGCCGCGGTGTCTCGAATAGCAATAGGATAAGACACAAAAAAAAGTGGGTTTGGCGACGAAGTGGATCAGGTAGGAAAGTGGATTTAGTGTCGAAGTAGATCTGGTGTCAAAATGGATTTGGTGTCAAAGTGGATTTGGTGGCGAAGTGGATTTGGTGCAAAGTGGATTTGGTGTCAAAGTGGATTTGCAGCGAAGTGGATTTGGTGTCAAAAGTGGATCTGGTGTCGAAGTAGATTTAGTTGGCAAGTGGATTCCCTTTGTCCTAACTGTCCTCATGTTGCCCGGTATAAAAGCTATTCACTTATGGAGGAAAGTATATATTCGCGCACGAGCATACTAGTATATCTCTAATATCCAATTTATCGATCTTAATTCAATGAAACTTGATAATAGGAAACGATATGAAAAAAACATGGTCCGCCGAAATAATAACGAAGAGAGACCAACATAAAAACAAACTGATAAAAAAAAGTTAATAACAAAAGTCAAAATACGGTAGAAAATTCAACTTAATTATATATATAAAAAAAAAACTACCAACGACGATGAAAAAAAATGCAATTACGGGAATATCCATAATAACCTCACTTAAGAAAAAAAAATAAATAAAATAAAGAGAGAGAAAAAAAAAGAAAAAAAACTCTACATATCCCCATACCTCCTCCTTCCCCCACCCCCTCCCACCCCCTCTCCCCGATCCCGAAGTCTTCCAAGGAGAAAAAAAAATCCCTCCCCCCACTTCCCCCTCCCCCACCCTGATCCCCCGACCCCCTATGAAGAATCATCCGGGAAATAAAATGACAATAGAATTTCCAGACGACTGACTTTCAGATTAATATTCTCACGGTTGGGTCGCCTCCCCGCCTGCCACTGAGCAGGGAGGGAGAAAGGAGGAGGGGGAGGGAAAGGGAGGGAGGGAGAAAGGGGAGAGGGAAGGAGGGAGAAAAGGAGAGGAAGGGGAGAGGGAAGAGGAGAAAAGGGGACTAGAGGGAAGGGGGGAGAGGGAAGGAGGAGAAAGGGGGGGAGAGGAAGAGGGAGAAGGGGAGAGGGAGGAGGGAGAAAGGGGGAGAGGGAAGGAGGGAGGAAAGGGGAGAGGAAGAAGGGAGAAAAGGAGGAGAGAGGGAGGGGGAGAAGGGGAGAAAAGATAGGAGAGGGAAGAGAGGGAGGGAGAAAGGATGGAAAGGGAGAGAAGTAGAGAGAGGGAGAGGGGATGGAGAGGGAAGGAGAGGGGGAAAGGAGGAGGAGGGAAAGGGGAAGGAGGGAGGGAAAAGGAAGGGAAAGGAAGGGAGGGAGGGATACAGGAAGTGGAAGGAAGGAGAGGATAGGAGAGGAGGGAGGGATGGAGGAGAGGAAAAAGGAGAGGGATGGGAGAGAGGAAGAGGGACCGGGGAGAGAGAGAGAGAGATGGCAAGAGAAACAAAAAGAGAGAAAGGAATCGGAAGAACAAGAAAGATAAAAAAAAAAAAAAACAGCATCAAAACCACACACTTGCCGACCTAAGTTCATCCCACGCCCTCCCTCCCTCCCCTTCCTCCCCTTCCTCCTACTCCTTCTCCCCAAACGACCAAAACGTTCCCAATTCCAGGTGGTTCCCTCGTTCCCCCCTCGCCAACCTCCCCGACGTTCCACCGCCACTCCTTGCCAGCCTGCCCCCCTCCTGTTTCCGAGCCTCCCTTCCTCCAACGGCAAATACCTCGCCCGTATTGCAGCGTCCGCCTTGACATCTGTATTTCAGCGTCTGCAATGTGGCTGTTCGTTCCCTGTTGCAGAGCGCGACGGGCCCACTGCGTATTATGTTGCAGGCCGCGTCGAGTCCCTGTAATTGTTGCTTTCCAGGAGTGTCAGTGACCTAGTGAACATGGGGATCCCCCGCCCCCTCCCATCCCTTGGTCCTCTGACTGTCTCTCTTGCTCTCTTGGTTTCCTTCTCTCTCTTTCTCCTTTCTCTCTCTCACTCTCTCTCTCTCTCCTTTCTTTCTCTTTCTCTTTCTCTGTCTCTGTCTCTGTCTATCTCTCTTTCTCTCTTTCCTTGATCTGCTTCTTAATTTTTTTCTCTCTCTATCCCTGTTTCTGTTCCTTCTCTTTTCTTTTTCTTTCTGATTCCCTTCCCTTTCATTTTCTCTCCCTATCTATTCTTCATCCTTCTCTGTTTACCTCCTCGTTCTTCCAACCTAACCTATCTACATCTTCATTCTCCTCCCTCTTCCTCAAAATCTCCTTCATTCTCCTCCCTCCTCCTTAATCTTCCTCCTCCTCTTCCTTCTTTTTCTCCCCTTCTCCCTCCCTTCTCCCTCCCTATTCTCCTCCCTGTTCCTCCTCCCAGCAAGGAGGAAGGAGTTGAGAGAAGGACTTTCCCCTCTTCCTCCTCTTCCTTCCAAGAGGACGATGATCCACTCCTAATCCGTCTGAGGAGATCTGATTACAGTACGAAACGCCCATTCTAACGCCCATCCCTCCCCATCTCCCCCTCCTCCTCCTCCTCCCCCCTCCCCCACCTGCCCAACCCATCGCGCCCGTAACTATTCTCTCCTCATCTTTTCTTTTTAGCTTTATTTTCTTTTATTATATCTTCTCTTCTAATCATCTCCCCTTTTCTTCTTACTTTCGCTCTTTTCCATTTCCTCTTTTATCCTCTTCCCCTCCCTCCTTCCTTTCTCACTATCCTCTACTTCCCTTTTCGTCCTTTCTCCTCCATTCGCCTCTACTTTCGCTCTCCTCCCCTCCTACCCTCCCCTTCCCTTCCCTCCTTCCTCCTCCCTCACCTTCTCTTTCATCCTATCTCCCCTCCTCCCCTCCCCTTCTCTTCCCTCCTTCCTCCTCCCCTCCCCTTCTCTTCCCTCCTTCCTCCTCCCCTCCCCCTTCTCTTTCCTCCTATCTCCCCCTCCTCCCTTCCCTCTCCTCCTCCCCTTCCCTCCCCTCCTTCCTCCTCCCCTCCCCTTCCCTTTCCTCCTATCTCCCCTTCCTCCCCTCTCTCCAGTCTCTCTCTCCCAATTTACATGTCGCCCTAATATACACCCTCTTCACCCTTTTCTCCGACACTCAGGGACATGAACACTCCGTTGTCGGCGAGGAAGATGCGTTGAAAATGGGAGCTGGTTAGAGGAGGGGTTGGTGGGGGGGTTGGGGGTTGGTTGGTGGGGGAGGAGGGGTTGGTGGGGGGGGAGGAGATGGAGGGACAGGTAAATGGACGAGGGAGCCGAGGAAAGGTCGAGAAGGGGGAGGGGAGAGGAGGAAAGGACAGGAGGGTGGGTGGGATGGAGAGAGAGATGGAGGGAGGGGGGGGAGGAGGGGGGGCAGAGAGATAGGGAGAGAGAGAGAGAGAGAGAGAGAGAAGAGAGAGAGAGAGGAGAGAGAGGAGAGAGAGAGAGAGGAGAGGAGAGAGAGAGAGAGAGAGAGAGAGAGAGAGAGAGAGAGAGAGAGAGAGAGAGAGAGAGAGAGAGAGAGAGAGAGAGAGAGAGAGAGAGAGACAAACAGAGACACAGTGGGAGAGGAAAGAGGTAAAAGCGAGAAAGAAAGAAAGACAAAAAAAAAAAAAAAGAAAGAGACAGATAGTGAGAGAGAACAGAGAGAGACACAGCGAGAGAGAGAGAGAGGTCGCGAGAGGCCGGTCCAAAGGAGGGAACGAACTTAGTATGGAAATGAGGAAACTTGCATGACTGTAGCTCAGGAAAGGATCACATAAGATTCAAAACTCACTCGGGAGACTCCTACAACATCCTGTTATCTTTGGCCTCTCTCACATCCTTCACTTTTCGCTTTTAAAACCCACGTATGGTGTGGCTTACCCCCCCTCCTCCTCCTCCCCGTCCCCGCCCCCTGCCCTCCGACCCTCCCTCTTCTGCCTCCTTTGGGGTCTTTATTTCTTTTCATTTATTTATCTTCTTGGTTTTCATCTTTAAATTATTTTTATCTTTATTAGTCGGGGAAGTCGACGGTGATTCAGGGAAGAAAGGGGGAGGAGGAGGAAGCAAAGGAGGAGGGGTGTGGGAAGGGAGGTGGAGTGGGGGAAAGGGAGGAGAGAAGGGAGGAGGAGGAGGAGAAGAAGAAGGAGGAAGGGAAGAGGAGGATGGGAAGAGAAGGAAGATGGGGAAGGGAGGAGAGAAGGAGAAGGAGGAGAGAAGGAGAAGAAGGAGAGGAAGGAAGAGGAGGAGGAGTGGGGGAAGGGAGAGAAGGAGAGAGGAGGAGGAGGAGAAAGGAGAGAAGGGAGAAGGAGGAGAAGAAGAAAGGAGAACAGGGAGGAAGAGGAGGAGTAGATAGAAGTAGGAAGTTAAGGAGGAGGAAGACAAGGATAATTGAGAGAAAAGAAAAGAAAAAACAAGAGTGGAATTGTATAAAGAAAATGAAAATATAGAAAAAAGAATGAAAAGAAAACAGACGGAAACCTAAAATTGCAAAACAGGAAAAACGACAAACAGGAACACGACACGAGCCGACGACACATAACGAACGACAACACCCGCCCCGTCGTGTAGAAGGAGGGGAGGGGGAGGGGGAGGGACACCACACGACCCCCTTTCTCGTGAAAATGGCGAACGAGCTAAAACGACGCGATTTTTACCTTCCTTACGAGAATTCTCACAAGGAGGAAGAATAGGAAGTTCACGAAGACACAAGAGTCTCTTACAGAAAATAAAAAAATAACGCATAAATCTCGGATAAAAAGCATATGAAAAAAGAACAGTAAAAAAAAAAGAATAGATAAAAAAGTGGATAGAATAGATACGTTAAGAAGACACAAAATCACCCAGAAAATAAAATAAACGATTAAATATCTGAACGCGAATAGAAAACCAAAGAAAACAAATACAAAAAAAAAAACAGAATAATACATTTCCGAAAGCGAAATGAAAACTAAAAGCAAAGAAAAAAAAAAAGAAAAATTACTGAAACCGAAATGAAAAAAAGAAAAAAAAAACAGAATAACAAATCATCTGAAACCTAAATGAAAATAAAAGCCCCCCCCCCCCCAAAAAAAAAAAAAAAATAGAGGATAATAAAAACACGAAAACGAAGAGGGTTGAAACTTCCGAATCGAAATCCCGGACTTTCGGGAAATTCAGATCCCGACGCCAACTTTGACTCCGAACCCTCCGCGATCCAGAGCCGGTAAACAGTGCCACACAAGGCGAGTGCCAACCCCAATAACACCGCCCCTCCCCTAATACGTCGATCCACCCCATTTGCATATCTCTTATCGCGCCGTTGTCGGAAAAATTTACCTTTGTGAAACGGCGCCTTCAAAGGAAGAGAAAAATCAAGAGGAACAACAGACAGAGAGGCCTAAGAAAGACTCGCGACCTGTTCGGGGCGGGGACACAGGGCGGTTCCTCCTCTCCCTCCCTCTCTTCTTCACCTTCTTCCTCTTTTTCTTCTTTTTTCTTCCCCCTTCGTCCTCCACCTCTTCCTCTTTTTTTTCTTACCCTTCTTCCTCCCCCTCTTCTTCTTTTTCTTCCCCTCCGCCTCCTCCTTCTTCTTTCTTCTTCCCCCTCCCCCTTCTTCTTCTTCCTCTTCCTCCTCCTCCCCCCTTTCCTTTCCTCATCCCCTTCTCCTTCCTCCACCTTTCTCTCTCTCTCCTCATCCTATTCCTCCTATTCATCCCATCCGCTCAGCCATCTACAATAATAAAGATTACAATAACAACAAACAAAAATAAACAAAAACGACACGAACAACAAACAAAAACAAAACAAACAACAAAAAGCAACAAAAACAATCAAAAATAAACAAAAAAACAACCAACAAAAATAACAAACAAACCAACAACAACAAACAAGACCAAACAAAACAAACAACAAACCAACCAAACCAAACAACAAACCAAACAAGCCAGCCCGCTTCCCCGGGCGCGGCGGCTCATCCCCCGATTCCCCGAGCGGCGCGGCGGTCACGTTGTCAATCCGGCCGCAGTCTGGCGTCGGGCCTCCGGTAAACACTAGTCGATCCCCGGATGAAAAATGGGAGCAAATACGGGGGAAATAAACGGGCGTGGGGGGGGGTTTGGGGTGGAGAGAGTTGGTGGGGAGGGGGTGGCGGGGAAGGGGGGGTGGGTGGTGGGAGGAGGGGTTAAGGGGGGGGAGAGGAGGGGAAGGGGTTAAGGGAGGGGGTTTGGTAGTAGGGAGAGGAGGGGTTAGGGGGTGGGAGAGGTGGGTGTGGTGGGGGGGAGCTGGGGAGGGAGCGGGAGAGTTGGGGTGTGGGTTGGGGAGGGGAGGTATGGAGGAGAGTTAAAGGGGTCAGGGAGAAGGGGTTAAGGAAGGCGGAGAGAGGTTTGGGTGGGGGGAGGGTTTTGGTATGGTAGGGGGGTTAAGGCGGGTTGGGTGTGGAGGGAAGGTTGAGTGTGGAGGGAGGGAGAGAGGTTGGCTGTGGGGAGGGAGGGTTGGTAGAGAGGGTGGGTGGGTTTAAAGGAGGGAGAGAGGTTGATTGTGGGGCTTGAGGAGGGTTGTGGGAGGGAAGTATGGTTGAGTAGAGGTTAGGTAGGTTGGGAGGGTAGAGATTGGGAAAGGTTGTGGGGAAGGTGCTGTAGGTTGGGGAAGGTTTACGAAGAGAGAGTTTGGTAGTGGGGGTAGGTGGGTTGTGGGAGAGGAGAGGGTTGAGTGAGGGGAAAGGAACAAAAAAAAAAAAAGGTAAAAAAAAAAGGGGGGGCGCGAGGTATGAGATCTATTTTTTAACGTCACTGCTCTTATTCCCCGCGGGAGGTGGCAGTCAACAGCGCTTTCATATCGCCCTGTCCACCCTATTTCTTTCTTTCCCTCTTATTCTCCTCCCTCTCCACTTCATTTCAACCTTTTTCTTCCATCTCGCTTGGGTTAATTCTTCGAAGGACCAAACGACTTGACCGAAATGATACTGACATGAACACAAGCGAGTAATTGTTTGGAACGTGTGAAAATCTACGGATCTTGAGCGCCACATTTCATTACATCGCTCCTATCTTTTTTTTTCGTGCAATTTTATCACATCGTCTCAGATAATATAGAATGAAAACAGCACGCACACACACACATTTATAATGAATTTATCATAAATTTATCTACAGTCCACCTTCCATATTTAGTTAAAACAGTACCATACATTCTGAAATAATATTCACTTAAGTCTAACTTCAACAACAACACACGGCATAAAACAATATTAATGATACTAGTAACAATAAGAATTAACATATATATACTACTTCTAATAGTAGTAGTAATAGTGATGATAACAATAACGATAACGATAAAAAGATAATGATAACGATGATAACAATAATAAAAAAACAAAATCAATGACGATACCAAGCCCCTCACACACGAGACCACGCCCTCGGGACCAGCGCCGGCGAGCGGGCGTGGGCGGCGACGGCGAGGGGAGAAGGAGAGAGAGAGAGAGAGAGCGAGAGCGCGCGGCAGGAAGCCAGTTCCGGCGACAGTCCGACAGAACACGGAACAGCACTCTGCAAAAGGCCGTCCGAATCGAGAGTCTGGAGACGGAACGTGGGGGGCGTGGGGGAGGGGGTAGGTATGGGGTGGGGGACTTTCCCGCTTTTGCTCCTCCTCCCCTCCTTCATATCTATCCTCTTCCCCCCACCCTCCCGATCCCCATCCCATCCAAGCGTTTCTTAAAATGTTTGGCATCGCGTGATTCTTCCGCAGTTCTTTTCCATTCGTGTTTGAGCCTATTTCTTTACTCTTTCTCTTTGCCTACCAACCTTCCTACCTACCTGCCTCCCCCCCCCCTCTCTCTCTCTCTCTCTCTCTCTCTCTCTCTCTCTCTCTCTCTCTCTCTCTCTCTCTCTCTCTCTCTCTCTCTCTCTTTTCTCTCTCTTTCTCTTTCTCTTTCTCTCTTCTCTTTCTCTTTCTCTCTCTCTCTCTCTCTCTTCTTCTCTCTCTCTTTTCTCTTCTTTCTCTCTCTCTCTCTCCTCTTTCTCTCTCTATTTCCTTTCTCTCTCTATTTCCCTTTCTTTCTCTTATTTCCCTTTCTCTCTCTATTTCCCTTTCTCTCTCTATTTCTTTCTCTCTCTATTTATTTCCCTTTCTCTATCTCTCTATTTCCTTCCCTTTCTCTCTCTATTTCTTTCCCTTTCTCTCTCTATTTCCTTCCCTTTCTCTCTCTATTCCTTTCCCTTTATCTCTCTATTTCCTTCTCTTGTCTCTTTATTTCTTTCTCTCTCTCTCTCTCTCTCTCTCTCTCTCTCTCTCTCTCTCTCTCCCTCTCTCTCTCTCTCTCTCTCTCTCTCTCTCTCTCTCTCTCTCTCTCTCTCTCTCTCTCTCTCTCTTCTCTCTCTCTCTTCTCTCTCTCTCTCTCTCTCTCTCTCTCTCCTCTCTCTCTCTCTCTCTCTCTCTCTGCCTGCTCGATCATAAACAACAGTCTGAAAAACAAAACTTTATTGCACTCCATCAAAACACGCTCGGAAATCACCAGCATCACCTACCTCTCGGAAATAAGTAAAGAACTCGCGAGCGCAAAAAAAAAAAAAAAAAAAAAAAAAAAAAAAAAAGGACACGAGGAGGAAAAGGAAAAATCTTCCGTCTCAACTTGCCGACGATAAGAGCCAAGTGATGTCAAAGTCTTCACTCCTCTAACCTCCTACCCTCCCCTCTCCTTCTCCTAGCCCCTCCACCCTCCTTCCCCTCCTCTGCCCCCCTGCATCTTCACTTCCTCACTTCCTATCCCTCTCTCTGTCCTTCCCCCTCCTCTCCCCCTCCCTGTCCTTTCCCGCTTCCTCTCCCTCTTCTGTCTCTTGCATTCCCACTTCCTCACTTCCTACGCCCTTCCCTTCCCTTACTAACTTGTTATCTGCCAAACTACTGATTAAGTGACGTTTAAGATTAAGATAAACACACAAACAAATATGTAAATAAACAGATACCGTACATGTAACAAATCGTGCCAAAAAATATGATAATAATAATAATAAAAAGGATAATAATAATAATTCCATGAGTATGCCGCTACACGTATACCAATTCTTCTCAAAGTTTTTTTTTTTCATGAATGGATCATACTTCTTAAACAGTTCTTTTTGAATCTGAAACTAACTGAAAGAGGTCATACTTTAACATTTTTTCCCCTTGGCGTCTCACCTAACCTCTCTCTCTCCCTTTCTCCTTTTCCACACTGCATTTCTCCAAGCAGGATTTTTCATATATTTCTTATCAAGATCCCTTATCAGAGAACCGTAATGGACACTCCCAGCCTTATCACCGCTTCCGCTGCATCTACACTCAGGGCGCCCTCTCCAAAATGCTTCGAAAACACATGAAATCGGGAGAGGGCGGAGGGAGGGAGAGAGGGAGAGGTAAGAGATAAGATCTAGATATATAGATGGATGTGTAGATAGATGGATGGATAGGAAGGTGGATAGATAGGTAGGGAGGTAGATAGACAGACAGACAGGCAGATAGAAAGATAATTAGTTAGGTAGACAGATAGATAGATAGTCAGCTAAGTCGCAGCAAGCGAGCGAGAGAGAGAGAGAGAGAGAGAGAGAGAGAGAGAGAGAGAGAGAGAGAGAGAGAGAGAGAGAGAGAGAGAGAGAGAGAGAGAGAGAGAGAGAGAGAGAGTGAGTGAGTGAGTCGCATACAGCGAAGATACTTTCAAAAGACGGAAAATATAGGGAATGAGAAAAATGACGAGAGGAAAAAAGACAGACGAGAGAATGGGAAAAGGGAGAAAAGAATGGAAGAAAGGAAGAAAAGGTAAGGGGGAGGAAAGGCTTGGAAACGGAGGGAATAAAATTAGGAACGTGAGTGGCCTTTCCGCAGAGAGAGGATAACGATCACACTCTCTCGACATTTCTGAATTCCTCCGGGAAACACGAACGAACGAACCAACCAACGGACGAAAGAACGGACGAACGACTGAACGCACGAACAAAAAACGGACGAACGCAGAAAATGGACGAAAGAACGGACGAACCAATGAACCAACCAACGGACGAACGGACAAACGAATGATCCAGACCATCCTCTATTCGACACCCCAAATCCCCCCCACCCCTCCTTCCCCTCCTTTTGAGAATCCTATCCCCTATTTTCAGCCTGGGATCCACCCCCAACCCCGTCCCCCCCCCCCAACCTACTTCGAGGGGCGTGTCAATAAAATGATCAACCACGGCGTGATGCGCTCCGTCGGCCTCTCGTAAAGGTGAGTCTCCCAACATCTGTTTTATTGTTGATCGTAAACTTGTGTCTTACCCCTCCTCCTTCCCCCTCTCTTCCTCTTCCCCCACTTCGTCTTCGTCCTCCTCTTCCCCATCCTCTTTTTCTTTCTTCCTTCCTTCTTCCCTCCCACTCTCCCTTCCTCCACCGTGTGTATAGGGTGGAGTTGTGTACGAGTATGGGGGGGGGAGGGATAAGGAGGGAGGGAGGGAGTGCGCGTGCCTCACCTTCATCGTCGTCAGAAGCGCAGCCGGAGCTCCTCTTGCGGATGCGGCTCCCGTTGCCCTTGCCCTTGACGCTCCTGAAGCGCTCGAAGGTGCGCGTGGGGAGGCTGCGCGACGTCTTGAGGCCCTCCTCGCCCGAGTCCTTCCGCGAGGAGCGGAACAAGCGATCGCGAAACGACGGCGAGTCCTTGTCGCCTTTCCGGGGCTTCAGCTTGTCGCTGTTGGACCTCCTGTTCCCGGGGCGCGCGGGCTTGGCGCTCGGCTCCACGAACTCGCTCACGCTCCGCACGAGCACGCGGCTCCGCGCGCGCGACAGGTCGTCCGAGCTGCGCTGCTTGTACACGCGCCGCGACCCGTCCGCATCCTGGCTGCGGCGCTTCGTCCGGTAGTCCAGCGTCCGCGACTTGATGGTCGGGGACTCCATGCCAGTCGGCAGCAGGAAGGACCTGCCGGAGGAGGCGCTGCCGGGGGTGTCGGGGGTCCCGGGGCTGTCGGACAGCCTCTGGAACGAGGAGAAGGACGAGGACTCTGCGAGCTGCTGGCCGGCGGCGGGCGAGTCCGCCTTCTCGCGGTCCTTCTTGCGGGCGTCCCTCTTGGGCCGCGGCGGGGGCACGGGGGGGAGCTCGTTGTTGAAGTGGATGAAATCCCCGGGGGAGCAGCCGTCGCCGGCGCCCGTGGCCGCCAGCATCTGCGTGGCGACGCTGAGGGCGATGTCCTGGCGCATGCTCGGCGAAAACGTGCGGTTATCCTCGGGGGACCTGGCGGGGCTGCTGGCGGCGTCGTCGCCGAAGAACACCTTGTCGGAGCCCGGCGAGTGCACGTCCTCGGCGCCAGGGATGTTCTCCTTGACGTCCTCGCAGAACTGGTCGCCCTGCAGGCACATGCCGTCGCGCTTCGAGTGCACGCGCTCGCGCCCCGCCCCGCCGCCCATGCTGACCGGGAACTCCTGCGCCATGAACAGCGACTTCCTTCTCTCCCGCAGCTTGACCTCCTTGTCCAGGTAGCAGGTCTCCGGGCGCGCCTTGAGGCCGAGCCTCGAGGCCTCCTCGTTCCTCATGTGCTCCCTCAGCAGGAAGGGGTTGGCCTCCTCCTCGTCCCCGGAGGCGGAGGAGATCGCGAGGCTGCTCCTCCGCCGCTTGACCACGCCCACCTCGTCGTCCGTGTAGAACTTGGCCATGGACTCCGGCCGCGGCACCGACGGCAGGTCCTCCACGCCCAGGTTGATGGTGAAGCGCTTGTTGTTGGCCGCCCGCGCCGCCCGGCTGTCCGGCGGCGCCTCCTTCACGCGGAAGATCACGGGGCACTCTGGCGGAACAGGGAAGGTGAGCCTTTTCTCGGAACTACAGCGAGAAGCAGAAGCAAGAATAACACAAAATACAAAAGACTTAACATACATGTCAATCACTAATCAAAGATATGAACCACACATAGACAGCAGTGTTTGACTGCATAAAAAGACGCTCGCGAGAGACTGACCTTCCTCGTGGGTGACGGCGAGGGCGCCGAAGGCCATGTTGCCCACCGGCTTGTTCTTCCGCCGAATGATCGACTTCCACACGCGCTTCGCCATCTTCCTCCGGGCGATGTCTCGGCTGCCACTCCACCTGGTCCGCTGCTGGCTCGCTCTCGGTCTCCGGGGCGAGGCTGGTCGGCTGGCTCGCGACTCCTCTCCGGCCACTACATCGCGGGGCCCTTCATGCCGGCGCGAAGGGGCTTCACTCGCGGACAGAAACACGCAGACACGGACAATTTCCTAACACCTAAAGGTACTACCAAAATCACTTTGACAGGACGCAGAGCCTTGGCACCGCACGCACTCCACTGCAGACTCCAGCGCTCCCTCAATCAGCCGACGCAGCCTCATCGGCGCGCGGGAGCACTTAGGCACAGATCCACCGAAACTCCACCGATGGATCCACCGAAAGATCCACTGAAAGATCCACTACTCCTCGCTAAGGATCCACGCAGCGCCACCAAAGATCTACCCGGCCTCAGGTCGAGGGGGAAGGACGGAGGAGGATCCGTCGCAGGAGCGAAGGAACGAAATCCATGCTAGTTCCTTCGGGAAGACTGGCCTCCGAGGGCGCCGCTCGACCGTTTCGCAAAGGGCTCACCGCCGCACCAGCTGAGGCATCCCGACGACAGGCACTCGAAACGATTTACTGGCGCGGCGACGAGCGTCAAATGCCCAGTTTAAACGTCTTGTCGGCGTTCGGACGCGTCGCCGGCCAGGGCGCGCGCCCATCGCCCGCTCCGACCTCGCTCGATCTCCGGCCGCGCGCCCTTCGAACGACACCCAACGCGTCTCGTTCTTACTCTTCTAAATAGTCTCCGATTGAAGAAAAAAACTGAAAAATCAACGTCATTCGGCATAAAAAATCGGCTCCTCCCAACGACCGCCAGCGCATCCGAACGCGACTACAGGACGCGCGCATTTCCCTTGAAGATAATGAGAAAAAAGCCAAAACACGCAATGCTTTTCTGGCCCGTTCGACTTCACGCGACGCCGAGCACGAACTCCGACTCGTATGATCACCCTTTTCCTCCTTCCCTCTCCTCTTCCCCCTCCCATTCGCCGTCTCAACCCATCCCTCTATCCGCTCTTCATCCCTTCCCCCCTTCTCTCTCCTCTTCGCTTCCCACCTTCACCATTCTACTATCAACCAACTTTATCTCCTCTCCTTCTACACCCATGTCCTTCACCTCCTTCGCCTCAGGACCCCATCTTCACCATCCACACCTTTATCCTCTCTCCTCCCCACTCACGTCCTTCCCTCCCTCACTCCAGGCACTCTCTCCATCTTCACCCATTTACACCTTTATCTCCTCACACCCTCTCTCCTCACTCCAGGTACACCTAACACACGCTATATAAAAATTCCCATCTTCACTATTCACATCTTTATCTCCTCTCCCTCTACACTTACACCCTCCCCCCCCTCACTTCAGGCACACTTAACAGACCCGACAAAAATAACAGACGCACAGAGAAATAGACATACATAGAAACAGACGCACACACAAGCAGGCGCACACAGATATAGACACACACACACAGATATAGACGCACACAACACACATACGCAGCAGACGCACGCACAAGCACGACACAAACAACGCACACTACACACACAAAGCAGACGCACAACAACAGACATACATAGAAACAGACGCACACTTAACACACACAAAGCAGACGCACACACAAACAGACATACATAGAAAAGACGCACACTTAACACACCATAGCAGACGCACACAGAAACAGACATACACAGAAACAGACGCACACTTAACACACACAAAGCAGACGCACACACAAACAGACATACACAGAAACAGACGCACACTTAACACACACACATACACACACACACAAACAGACGCACACACGCACAGACGTAACAAGGTCAGCAGGTGAGGTGACGCAACGGGGCCGAACATCCTTACGTCCCGCTCCCGACACACGGCCCCGAGACGCGAAGACGGGACTCTCGCTCGCTCGTCTTGAGTGGTCCTTCGCCTCTTCTCTTTTCTTCTTCGGCCTCTCATTCTTATTCTTTTTCTTATTGTTATTCTCCCTTTCCTCTTTTTTTCTCTTTCCTCTTCTTCCTTTAATTCTTAATCTTTTTCTTCTAATTATCCTCAGAGAGAGAGAGAGAGAGAGAGAGAGAGAGAGAGAGAGAGAGAGAGAGAGAGAGAGAGAGAGAGAGAGAGAGAGAGAGAGAGAGAGAGAGGAGAGAGAGGGATGACAGAGAGAGAGAGAGAGAGAGAGAAAAGAGAGGATGACAGAGAGAGAGAAAAAAAAAGACAGACAGACAAAGAGACAGAGAAAGGCACTCGTACGTTTACAAGTACCTTCCCATTTCGCTTGTTTCCATTACCATCAAACCAGTTACCATCCTTATTACTGTTGCTGATACGTACAACAACAACTACCATTATTCCTCAAAACACCACTTCACCGAACCGACACATCTTCCATCCCTTATCATCAGTCTTATCATCAACTCCCCTACCAATCTTTCTCACCTCATCACCACCACTCCAATGTCAACATCACCATCACACTATCGCAGCCAGCATTACGTAAATAATCACTGTCATTATTTCGCAGCTGATATCGCCCTTATCACCACTTTCCGGCGAAAATTGTGGATGAGGGAGGCCCGATAACAGCGACAAAGAGCATCTGAAATTCAAAGATCTTACAACCCATTTCGTGAGGGCGAGAGCAGGTGGAGGTGGAGGTGGAGGAGGTGGGGATGAGGGGTGAGGGGGGAGAGAGGGGCGGGGCGGGGGCGGAGGTGGAGGTGTAGGAGGAGGAGGTGGAGGTGTAGGAGGAGGAGTGGGGAGGAGGAGGAGGAGGAGGAAAGTGTGTGTGAAGCAAACGGCTAAAATATAAGGTAGGTGGGATGCGTAAAGGTATGAAGAAGAAGAAGGAGAAGGGGAAAAGGAGGAGGAGAAGAAGAGAAGAGGAGGAGGAGAAGAAGAAGAAGAAGAAGAAGAAGAAGAAGAAAGAAAAAGAAGAAGAGAAGGAAGAAGAAGAAAAAGAAAAAGGAGGAGAGGAGGCGGAGAAGATTAAGGAGGAGGAAGAAGAAGAAGAAGAAGAAAAAGAAAAGGAAAAAGAAGGAAGAAGAAGAAGGAGAAGAAGAAGGCGGAGGAGGAGGCGGAGAAGCCCGC